TTCTGTTGATTATCTCCAATTTATCCTTGTCTACATAGTTGTTTGTGTATTGTTTCCCCCATTGGATTATGGGCTCCAAGAGAGCAGGGATGGTCTTTTATTACTTTCTTGGTGTTCCCAACACTTATCACAGTGCCTGATGCATAATAGGTGCTTAATAAATCTTTATTAACTGACTGATATTTCTGACCAGAAGCATTTCCATGTGGAGATGATACCTAAATGAGTGCAGTATCCTTGCAAAATATTCTTTCCATGCAATTGTTAAGTGATTGATCTTTTTTTTTCTAAAGGTAGGTAATCTACCACTGTCTCATTTTGTATCAATTCAAAATACGAATCACCAGACTAGCCAGTCATGTTTGGCCCAAAACACATGGAGTCAGTTGGGAAGATTGGGTAAGAATGACTTTGCCTTGTGGTTGAAGTGGGGGTGGGTATTTTGGAGAAAGGGGAGCCAAAGAAAGGGCTGCTTGGATATTGCAGTCAGTCACCTTGGGGCTGCTGCACTTCTGACTACAATACAGAGAATCTTCTCAATGGGATGCAGAGAAGGTCCCCACTAATCTGAAAGGGATAGCCCAGTGGGTACATAAGGATATTGACAGAGGACAAATATATTACCGGGGCACCGTTCTCTGGATGTTATTAATGATCCTAAAAAAACTGGCTCTCCAGCATTTGGAAAACAAAACAAAATAAAACTGGTCATGTACGTTCAGGAACTAGGGATAAAACTCTTGGTTTCCAAGGGCCATGCCCTGAAGACAGAGGGTTAACTCAACGACTCAGGAATGGCACATGTGAAATGGACAATACTAGTGGGGATGGAGAGCAGGGGGTCACAGCCCATGACGGAAAATGAGGTCTTTGACCCAGAGGTTTCACTGGAAATCCTAGTTGAATCCCACTAACTAAAGCTAGTGGAATTGAAACAAAATGAGAGTGGTAGATTACCTACTATTTGTGTTGAATCCCACTAAAATGATGTCTCTAAAAGAAAAGAATAGGAGTGGAATTGAGGATAAAGAGTGGGAATCCATCTTGGTACTACAAGAACCTCAGATTTATCCTGTTGCTTCTGGGGCAGTGGATTCCTCCTCAAAGGAGGTCAGAGTATAGGGCTTTTTTTTTGTTTCTGTTTTTGTTTCTGTTTTTGTTTGTTTATTTATTTATTTGCTTATTTACTTACTTAATCACTCATTCACCTGTTTATGTATGTATCTATCTGTTTGTTTATTTATTTGTTTGTTTGTTTATTGTTACCATCAAGTAACTTGGGAGGTGGCAGAAGTTTAAAGTTATTGGAACAATGGTTGCTAAGAACAATGCAGAGTCCTTGAATGTTTTAGAATTCCACTGGCTTAGTGATCTCACAGAAGGTTGACTTTTGTAAAGTGAATTAAACAGAGTCCGTGAATGGGGATTATCTTTTGTCCATTTTTAGGTAGCTAAAATAGGATGGACATACTTGGCCCCCAAGAGGTGTGTACCCCTCAATCAATTTTCCAATGAGGTGTCACCAAATGAGGGAGTAAAATTTCTAAAACAGAGGGGTTCTGTGGGCTAGAGCTATGCTTGTTCCTCTCCATGATCTATGATCGGCCTATGTCAGGTTCATCTTGCTTCTAGGCAGAGTCCCACCTGTGTGATATCAGGCTTTAGTTATTGGTCTTCTATGCCATATTGCCATAGAAGACTAGGTAGATCCATCAGTGGAATTTGAGTAGGAGATCAGGACTACTCTAAATGGCAATCTGGCCAAATACTACTGTCTACATAGAAAAGGGGTCTGGGGATGGTGGGATGGTGTGTAGTGCTCTCCTGGAAAGTGGAGGAGGTTGCCAAATATATAAGGTAGATACCAACACTATTTATCATGGTTCTATCATGCCACAGCACACTCAGTGGATACACAAAGTTGTCTCCAGTTCCAGCCCTGATACCCAACAGGCTCTTCTAGACCAATGGTTCTGGCTTCTGAAGAAATCAATTTCACCTAGTTCTCTCATGGACCTATTCACTACTAGAAAGGCATGCATAATGGATGCTGGTGGCCATTCAGTATGTACCTTTAGGGATGAGGGTCCTGAGAAGTCCTCCCCAGTGGGATGAGACATGTGGCTTACAAGTAAGAGGGCCATGAGAGGTGGTGTAGATAAGATAGAAGGGAAGGTGAGGTCATCTTGTCTAGCTACTTTGCCAGCCTTCTCTAGTCCACAACTACACAATCACCACAAATCAACAGAGAAAGAAACATCCGTATTTGCTCAAGTCATTTAGATAAAGAAATTGTCCTTTAGGCAGCTCACTGAACTACTTTAAAGGATTAAATTACAGCTTAAAGGGATTAAAGAGGACACTCTTCAAGGAGCAGGAAGACTGCCAAGAGTCCAAGGACACCAGCAAGAGATCTATTCAGTGTCCTGGCCCTGATTCAAAAATTGGGGAGGGGGATGTTTAGGGGATTGACAGACCGGAATCTCCTTCTTTGAAGAGTTCCCTTCATCCCTTGAGATCATGTTATTTATAATAAGAAGCTATTTTAGAGATCAAGTCATCCAACACTTGCATTTTACAGAATAAGAAACTGAGGCCTGGAAACATAAAATTATTTGCCAGCTCATGCAGGTAATAAGTAGTAGTGTTAGAGTTCAAACCCAGGATTTTCTAAAGATGAAGAATTCAAAAAATATGGAAAGACTTGATTGACACATAAAGATTTTCACAACCTGGATCTTCCTATCTATCCAATTTTTTTTTACCACATTACTCCATTCCACACATTCTGTGGTCAAACTACATTGATCTATTTGCCATTCTTACTTATTTGCCATAATATTCCATCTCCTGTCTCTGCATTTTTGTACTGACTAACCCCATGACCAAATGCTCTCACTGCTAAAATCCTTGGATTTCTTTCAGACACAGCTCAATAGCCACAGAAGACCCTTGCCAATCCCATCCCCTCCCAGCTGCTAGTATCTTCCCCCGTAAAGTGATGTCAATCTACTATGTATCTACCTTGTATGTTCTGTGTCTTTCCATTAAAAGGTGAACTCCCTGAGGGCAGAAACTTTTTTTTTTGCTTTTTCTTCGTATCTATTTTGCTTAGCATGGTATTTGACATATACAAAGCCTTTAATATGAATAATTGAGAAAAGTATTTATTAAGTATTTATTATGTGCATAGCTCCATGCTAAGCACTGGAGACACAAATAGAAAAGTCAGACAATCCCACTTTCAAGCAGCTTATTTTATAATGAGAAAGACAACACATATGGAGGTTTTAGCTGCAATTCAAATGGAATTAGAAGATAAAGTAAAGATGGAAAGAATTCACCAATCATCTTCTGAAAGAAACCCCAAAAGGAAAAAAGTCCCAAGAATAACTCATGGTCAAAATCCGGAGCTCCCTCTTCAAAGAACAAGCTTCCAGAAATAAATACCTTAAGTATCAAGGAATCAGAGTTAATATCTCCCCAAACCTGGCAGCTTTGAATATAAATGAGAAGAGATCTTAGAATACCACTGTCTTGTATTAAGCCAGACTTTAAAGAGATTTGCAAAACTATACAAAACACTTTTCTTACTGTTTTTTGAGAAAACAGTTATTTTTCATAAAAATGTTATTTAAGTTAATATACAGTGGATTTCTATTGTTATTTTAAATGAATTAATAAATATTTTTAAATGATCTGTTTTAACTTCTAATATGGCAAATATCAATAGATTAAAATGACATAAACAAAAGCTCTTTAGAAGTCTTCAGTGATTTTTAAGAGTGTAAAGGGGTTCCAAGGCCAAAGCGTCTGAGAACTGTTATTCTAACTGTCTGCTCAGCACCACTTTCCCCCTGTCTGATGTTCTTTGAAAGTTCCATCAAACAGCACGATCATCGGATCCTCATTCTCCATTGCCGCTCCTAAGCCAAAAGCTTTGCTTTTGCCATACCTGTCCAGCAGATGGCATCAGTCATCGCTCCTATTGCCATTTCTTTCAGGGCCTCCTGCCATGGCAGTACTATGTAGTTTTAAGTGAAGACCAGTCTTAACAGTGATGAGGGATCTTGGAAACTCCTAATGTTGGTTAGAGGCATTTGGTCTCCTTGTGTTTAGTTCTAGGGCAGTGCCAACTAAGGGCCCTACTCTGGATATCCCCTTTGTTTTATAATTTCCTGACCTCTAGCTTCATGGAAGAAGACCAGTGATCTGGAATACTCCACCCTTGCAGTTTCAAAACAGATCATCATCTCTCCAGTACCAAGCTGGTATCAGCATCTGGGATGGGTCTTGAGGTTTGATAGACTGATTTAATTCATGGTTCTATTCCCAGTTGTCCCTTCACATGCCTCAAATCCCTTGCAAATCAAAAAGGTAAGGTTGTTCCCTTTAACTAGCCTTCTAGTTCAGAGATGTGGAATTGTTGGGAATGAGTGGAGGGAGTGCAGGGGCAAATATTCTTCTGTCACAACATTGCATTGGGGAAAGAAAAGTTTCAGTCTTGGCTGCATGCTATCCCAATTTAAAAAAAAATCAAAGCCCCTGCAAATAATACTAGATGTATGTCATAGTAGTATAATAATAATGACATTTATATAGTGCTTTAAGGTTTGCAAAGTGCTTTGCAAATATCTCCTTTTATCCTCATTAAAAACCCTGGGAGGCAAGTGTTATGATTATCCCCATTTTATAGAAATAGGCAAACAGGGGTTAAATGACTTGTCCACAGTCACATAGCTATTAAGTGTCTGAGGATGGATTTGAGCTCTGGTCCAGTGCTCCATTCATTTTACCACCTCATTACCTCTTAATATGTGATATTTAAACTTGACACTTACTAGCTGTGTGACCTTGGGCAAGTCACTTAACCCCAACTGCCTTAAAAAATATGTGATATTTAAATAAGTTAAATAGTGACTCATGATAAACATATAATCTGTGACCCAGAATTTCAGATGTGGGTTTAGATAAGCTGGATTCATTAATGAGATTCTTACCTAGTGCCTCCATTTGGCTAGTTCCTCTGTTCAGGGTTCACTTTGGGAATATTCAGATTTGGATGATTTCTAAGCCTTCACAAGAGAAAGGAGAGAATTCTCAAATCTCACACAAGCAGGTTAACAAGACCTGGATCATATGACAGAAATTCTTTAACTTAAGAAAGAACACAATGGGTATTCATGGTTAGTACATACATGGTCAGTGATATATGTATTCTACTATGCATAGCTGTTCTTCCCAGAATTGTTTGCTGCCTTGCTCCAGTGTAAACTAGGTACTCTGGTAATGATAGCCTCATTAATCATTCCCTTCTTTAACATCTTCTGTCAATTTAGCCACCCATAAGGTAGTCACCAGACATTTCTGCTCTGACTTGATATCACTTCTAGGTCACTTAGAGCTATTCCAAGTTGGAATGAGTTGCTGTTCAAGATTCTAGGTTCCTCAAGCAAAGTTTGGTTGACTACCTACTGGAGCGTGTTCTTGTTCAGATTTACATTGGGCTAAGGTCCTTCCCAACTCTGACACTGTAATTCTGAAGGCTTTATCCTTCTATAATCTCTGGGGATGGCACAGTCCTCAAGAACTCTGATTGGAGGCCAAGACTTCTAGAACCATAAAGCAATGAGTTTGATCCTGGCTACTCCTAGGAGAGTAGGTGTCATAGGTAGTTTATTTTCTCTGAACACATGAGGTGTTGTGCATTCCAGACAGGAAGCATCTCAGCAAAGCAGCAGCAAGCCCCACCTCAGGAAAACAGTGGGAGATCCTGAGCCCCAGTGTAGTGAAGCAGGCAAACACCAACACCAGGACCCCCACATGCCTTAGCATAGCCCAGGGAACTGGCAGACTCCAGCTCTGAGAACCACCATGTGCTTTGATGAGGCCCTGGGCAAATAGATATCCTCCAACATAATGAGAAAGTAGGCCAGACCTCCATGTGCTTCAGTGTAGCCCTGGAGAAATGCAGAAATGCCCCCACTTGCCTCAGCAGATGCCAGAAATCAGCACTAGGACCTTGGCTCAGCACCAGGTAAGCTGCCAGACCTCTATGGCCTCCATCAGCACCAGCCACCCCCCGCACCTCATCCCCGTACCACAGCACCACCCACAAAGATCCCCTGGGAACCTTAGGGCAACACTGGGTAAATAGTCAGGGCCTGTAGCCACTGGCACAAGATGATAAGACAGTGCCCTTCCACCCTGTGTACAGAGCTCAAATATAAAAGAAAGGGAAAAGACAAAAAAAAAAAGATGAGCCAAAAACAAAAACAAAAAAAAGAATCTGACTAGAAAGTTATTATGGTGACAGAGAAGACCAAGACACAAACTCACAAGAAGACAACAATGCCAAAATACCTGTGTGCAAAACCCAAAAGAAAAATGGGAAACAGTCTCAAGCCCGGAAAGAATTCATGGAAGAACTCAAAATGGAGCTTTAAAAGTCACATAAGAGAGGTAGAAGAAAAAATGGGAAAGAAAATGAAAGTGATACAAGAGAACTGTGAAAAAAAAAAGAGTCAACAGCTTGGAAAACTGCTTAAAAAGTAGAATTGGCAAAATGAAGAAGAAGATACAAAAATCCACTAAAGAAAACAACTCCTTAAAGAGTATAATTGGCCAAATGGAAAAAAAAAAGTACGGAAGATAATTGAGGAAAATAATACCTTAAAAGTTAGAATTGGGCAAGTGGAAGGTAATGATTCTGTAAGACATTAAGAATCAATCAAACAAATTCAAAAGAATGAAAAAATGGAAGAAAATGTAAAATACCTTTTGAGAAAAACAACTGACCTAGAAAATAGAGCTAGGAAAGACACTATCAGAATCATTAGACTACCTAAAAGCCATTATCAAAAGGAGACTCTGGATAACATCCTTCAAGAAATTATCAAGAAAAACTGCCCTGATGTCCTGGAACCAGAGGGCAAAATAGGCATTGAAAGAATCCACCAATCACCTCAGGAAAGAGATCCCAAAATAAAAACTCCAAGGAACATTATAATTTTAGAACTATCAGGTAAAAAAAAATAGTGCAAGTGGCCAGAAAGAAAAAATTAAAATATCAGGTAGTCACAATCAGGATTACATAGGACTTGGCAGCTGCAACATTAAAGGACTGGAGGTCATGGAACATAATGTTCTGGAAAGCAAAGGAGTTGGGACTAAGAAGCCCTTACCTGACAAAATTAACCATAATACATCAAGGGAAAAAAATGGTCATCCAATTAAATGGAAGGACTTCAAACTTTCCTAAGGATACAACCATAAATGAACCAAAAATTTGACCTCCAATATCAAGACCCAAAAAAACCATGAACAGGTAAAAAGGGAAAAGAAAACATAAGGGATTCAATAGAGCTAAACTAATTATATCCCTAGATGGGAAGATGATACTTGTAATTCTTAAAAATTGAATCACTAGTAATGTACTAATATAGTACAGCTAGAAGGAATATACATAGACAGAGGGTACAGGTATAAGGTGAATTTGCATTTGAGAGAAAGACATAAAAAAACAGAGGAGTACAATGAATACGAAAGGTAGAATAGAGTAAATTATCTCACATGAAGAGGCATGAAAGACCTATTACAATGGAGGGAAAGATGAGAGGGTGGATGACAAGCATCATTTGAACCTTACACTCATCAGTATTGGCTCAAAGAGGGAATCATATACACAATCAGTTGAATATAGAAATCTCTCTTATCCAACAGGGAAGTAGGAGGGGAGGAGATTAAGTAAAGGGGTGGGGATGGGGACTGACAGAGGGGAAGGCAGATCAGAGGAGGTTATAGACAGAAGCAAAACACTGGCGAGTAGGGAAAGGGTGAAAGGAGAGAAAGGACAGACAGCAGGAAGAATAGAATGGAAGGAAAAACACAGGTAGTAATCATAACTGTAATGTGAATGGGGTGAACATTCCCATAAAATGGAAGCAGATAGCAGAGTAGATCCAGAATCCTACCAGAATCCTACAATATGTTGTTTGCAAGAAACTCACTTGAAGCACAGAGACACACACAGAGTAAAGGTGAGCCGCTGGAGCAGAATCTAATATGCTTCAGCTGAAATAAAAAAAAAAGAAGCACAGATAGCAATCCTGATCTTAGACAAAGTAAAAGCAAAAATGGACCTATTTAAAAGAGATAAGGAAGAAAGCTACATCTTGCTAAAAGGTGGCATAGACTAAGAAGCAATATCACTGCTAAACATGTATGCACCAAGTGGTATAGCACCCAGATTCTTAAAGAAGTTCAGTGAGTTACAGGAAGAAACAGACAGCAAGACTATACTAGTGAGGGACTCCAACTGTACCCTCTCAGAACTCGACAAATCAACCAAAAAAAGGAGCAAGAAACTAAGACAGCAAAGAGATATTTAAAAAGTCAGAAATGATAGACCTTTGGCATGATTTAGATATGAAGGGTGACACCATAAGCAAATTAGAATTAGAAGCAAATCAGAAGAACAAGGAATACCGTACCTCTTAAATCTATGTGGAGGTGAAGAATTCATGAGCAAACAGGAGATAGAGAACATTACAAAGTGTAAGACAGATTATTTTTATTACATTAAATTAAAAAGCTTTTGTACAAACAAAACCAGTGAAACCAAGATTGGAAAGAAAGCAGAAAGATAGGAAACAATCTTTATAACAAGTGTCTCTGATAAAGGTCTTATTTCTCAAATACATAAGTGAACTGAGTTAAATTTACAAAAATACAAGGCATTCCCTAATTGATAAATGGTCAAAGGTATGAATAGGCAATTTTCAAATGAAGAAGTTAAAACTATCTATGTGCGTATGAAAAAAGTGCTCTGAATCACTTTTGATTAGAGAAATGCAAATTGAAACACCTCTGAGGCAGCACTTCACACCCACCAAATTGGCTAGCATGGACAGAAAAAGGAAATGCTAAATACAGGAGAAGATCTGGGAAAATTGGGGCCCTAATGCACTGGTAGAGTTGTGAACTGATCCAACCATTCTGGAGAGCAATTTAGAACTGTATCTAAAGAGCAACAACACTACCCATGGCCTTTGATCCAGAAATACCACTACTGGGTCTGTATCCCAAAGAGATCATAAAAAAGGGAAAATGACCTACACATGCAAAAATATTTGTAGCAGCCCTTTTTGTGGTGGTACTATTGAAATTGAGGGGATGATCATCAATTGGGGAATGGCTGAACAAGCTATCATATATGAATGTAATGTAATGCAATAATTATGCAAAAAGAAATGATGAACAGCCAGATTTCGGAAAAACCTGGGAAGACTTGTACAAACTGATGTAAAGTAAAATGAGCAGAATCAGGAAAACATCGTACATAGTATCAGCAATATTGTGTGATGATCAACTTTGAATGACTTAGCTCTTCTCAGCAACATAATGATCTAAGACAAGTACAAAGGATTCAGGAAGGAAAATACTATCCATGTCCAAGTAAAGAACTTATGAATGCTGAATGCAGATTGAAGCATACTTTTTTTTCCACTTACTTTATGCTTTTTTATGTTTTTCCCCTTTGATTTTTTTTTGGCAACTATGACTAATATGGAAATATTTTACATGACAGCACATGCATAACCTACATCAAATTGCCTACCGTTTTAGGAAGAAGGGAAGGAGGAGAGGAAGGGAGGGAAAAAAATTTGAACTCAAAATCTTGTAAAAATGAATGCTAAAAATTTTTTTGACATGGAACTGGGTAAAAAGTAAAATACTATTTAATAAAGTTTATCTACAGCTTAAAAATCTAGGGGGTTTAATTTCAAATTGCTTTATAGAGTAGTTTGATCAATTCACAGCCATAGCCCTCCAACAATTGTTATCATCTTTTTTTTTCAGCTTTGTCAATCTGATGGGTGTGAGTGTTAATATCAAAGTTGTTCTAATTTGCATTTCTCCCATGGTTTTCAAGTGGTTGTTGATATGTAGTCTTTTTTCTTGCCTCTTTCCCTTTTCCTTAACCATTTATCTAGTATAATACTTCTCTGGTTCTTATATATTTGAAACAATTTGAAACTCTATATAAGGCCAACATAACATGTAATAGAGAAAT